CAAATTTTGAAACATATTAGCCTTATGGGATACTAGAGCTGCAGCTAACGATTGCTCTTATTGTCAGTTATTCTGATTATCTGGAACCCGTAGTCATTAGACTACATGTTTTTGGATTTTTTCTCGAAATGGCTTAAATAAACTCAGCTATCAAAGTAGCCCAGTTGTTGATTAGTTTTTGTTGACACGTGAAACGAATCGATTATATTTTTAAACATTCATTGTTTTTAATAAGCTAATCTTTTGCGAAAACACACATTAACGTTACTAGCAAAAGACAATTGCTCATAATACGAGCTAATGAAGACTATATACGGTATTAATAGCAAAGTGAACAATGCAGGGATGAGTGGCAGAATCACAATCACAAATCAATTCATTAAAAACACTGATCTGAAAATACCTGAATATATTGTTTGAACATATACAGACAGTTATTCTGTCCTATAAAAAGCTAAATCACTTTCTGTTCCTGTTTTAGTCTCTCAGTTCCCACCAGTAATATTATGATTCAGCTGGGCCCTCCCTTGAAAACTAGATCTTGATCTCAATGGAACGGGTAAAATAAAGGTAATAACAACAACAACAACAACAACAACAACATGTAACTACAAAGGGCACACAGTCAGCTTATAGTGGTGCACTTCTACAATGATGCATGCTTGTGTGTGTGTGTGGGATATGAGCTTCTTATATCCAGCAAATATTTCATAAGAATGCAGTTCATTTCAGATCTTGATTGTCCCACAAGGTGAAACTCAACGCTACACCAAGGCAGCATAAAAACATAAAACATGAGCACAATAAAACCACAACATTTCCAGTGGGAGAGATTGTTTTGTTGATGAGATCTGCTGAACTTGCCAATGTGGCATTTATAGAGCTTTACATTTCCCTAACCCCCGCAGTTCTGATTGTATTAGTTCTCTAGCCAGCAGCTTGAAATTTGATAGCGATCTGTCCCATCAGCTAATGTACAATGCTATTCAAACACACAGCTTCAAAGAATATAACCTGGTAAATACAGAAGGTGACTTTTACTTTGCTCAGGATCTTGTAAGGGTTGTAAGGTACATTTTTGCGCCAGTGAAGTCTTATTGTATCATTTATTTGTTTTAATGGTCTAGGATACAGCTTACTTGAATAACTTCAGGACCTGCACTCTATAAAATCTGCACTAAAACCTACATACCTTAAGGAGCTGCTGAATAACTCATTACTATTGCTTTAAATGAATAGTTTTAGTGTCTCAAAGTTTATATGCTGTTTTATGGGCTTTTACACCCTGTGCTCACTCAATATTCCCTGAGGCAGCACAAAATTCTTCTCCTCTAAGTTGGATTTGAAGTTGGCACTATACTGTATAAATGCATATACAGCAATTATAATTATGAAAATTGTTGTATTCTGATTACATTCAGCTTCCTGGTTTTTAATTTAGACTAAAGAAAACCCAGAGTTACCTTAACTGAGTTTGTGCTTGTATATTATGATACCAGGTAATCATTTTTAAATTCACAGAGGTAAAGATGCACAACCTAAACCAACCATTTATGCTTTGATGATATTTTTATTTCTTTTGGCAAAACTGCATGGACAACAAAGATAGTTTTTGGTGGTACTTACTTTGGTAGATACTGCTCCCTTGTGGCCTTTTTGTTTGTACAGATGGTAAAATGTCTGTGTAAACCTAAGAGTTAATGAATTCTTTACATTAGATAAAATAATATTAATGATAAAAACTGAATGAAGGTTTGGGTTAAATTGGTGATGTGTTTTTTAAATGGTTCTTAAAATAATCATAACCTAAAACTGCAAATCTGACCTTATCTAATCAAATTTCTTTCCACAAATAAGGCACTCAATGTGAAATATGTCCATTATTATACAAGTATGGCCTTATACATATGTAAATATTGGAGGTAGTTGTAACTCAAATGGTAGAGTAGGTTGGGCATTAGCCATAGGATTGGTGGTCCTGGACTTCTCTTGTCCATATATTTACGTGCCCCTTGGTGTAGACACTGAACCCAAAATTGCTTTAGCTGTGTGTGTGGTAAAAAGAAATGTAAACTGCTTTGGACAAAAGTCTCTAGTACTACCATTTTCTTACAGGCCACCAGAGGTCTCTCCTCTCACATTTGACTGGGTTAGATATTCTGAAGAAGACAACACTACTATATATAACTCACATATGTTTAAAATGTTCTGCTTATTAAATCAAATGCTGTTTTGTCTCAGCATACTTTATACCTGTCAGAGCTTTGCAAAGAACATCCAGCTCACCTTCCACTTAACTGTGCGCAGGGAGATTTCCTTCAAAGCACATGAAATATTGAACAGGAGTGAGGTCTTCAGGGAACAGGAATTACTTCAATATGCAGTTTGCATCACATTAGCAGATGTGATTTATAGCTACTCTTTCTCTAAACAGGATAATATCTCATAATTGCTTTGTCTGCCCTGTGTGTAACATACTGTCATAGGCTGTTGCATTTTGTGCTGCTTCAGGGTTGTTACAGTTTTTCTCTATCGCTTTCATTCATTTCTCACAACAGAACTGCATTTCTCAGAACTACTTGTTCAACCGTCAGATTCTGTTGTCAGTTTTTCACATCATATCAGCAATTTCTTGTTGTTTTCATCAAATTGCAATTGCTTTTGGACAACATGCAAATGGTTCTGTACATCTGTCAGCTGTTTTTGACAATTCTTGTTGCTTTTGTCCAGCTGTGCAAAATAACCTGTCCTGGTTCTCAGCTGAAATGTCACAACCACCAAACCAATTAGTCTTTTTTTCAGGTTGGAAGTCTGTACTATCAAGATGAGTGAAAATGTTCTCAGAATTGTATGTCTGTACAGATTTCTACAAAGTGTGAGTAGATGTTTGCTAAGAAATATGTCCAGAATTGAGAAATTGCTCTCAGGTGAGTCTTCTCCTTTGTTAATGAAGAGAACCACCTCACAACTTCATATACTTGGATGAGGCTGGCTTCAACCTGGCCAAAGGCAGAAGGCGTGGTAGAAATCTAATCGACCAGAGAGCTACTGTTGATGTCCCAGGCCAACGGGGAGGAAACATCACTATGTGTGCTGCTATGTCAGACCAAGGTGTGCTAGCTCATATTCCTATTATGGGACCGTACAACACACAGCATCTCCTTACATTCTTAGACAATCTCTATAGAAATGTCATTCCTGAAGATGAGAGGGACCTCAATCGAGATGATGTACCAAAGTATGTAGTAATTTGTGATAATGTCAGTTTCCATCGCTCTGACAACATCAGGCAGTGGTTTGTCCACCACCGCAGGATGCTGATTGAATTCCTTCCACCCTACTCCCCATTCCTGAACCCAATTGAAGAGTTTTTCTCGGCTTGGCGGTGGAA